TATGGGGTACACTGGATGTGTACACTACGACAGCTATGGGGTACACTATAAGGACACTATGACAGCTATGGGGTACACTGGATGAGGACACTATGATAGCCATGGGGTACACTGGATGGGGACACTATGACAGCTCTGGGGTACACTGGATGAGGACACCACCACAGCTATGGGGGTACACTGGATGAGGTGCTGGTGGGGTCAAAGGCAGGGTCTGATTCTCCATCTTTTTTGGAGATGGAATTGGGGTATCTTCTGCGAAAGTAGGTACAGCGTGAGAGGAAGGAAGAAAGGAAAAAGGCAGGGTGAGCTCCAAGGCCTTTTCTGGACCGACATGAAAATTATGGGAAAACTGGGGGCATAACAGATCCAGTTAGGGCAGGAAAAGTCCACAGTGCACATCAGGGGCTCCATCTGAGGCTGGGGAAGGAGACAGAAGACTCTAAAGTGATAACATGGATACCATGGAATTTAATTTTTTCTCTAACTTCTTGGTGCTGGATGAAGCCCAGTGAGGCACACCTCTAGCCCCTCCATGCACATATTTTGATTCAGTAGTCAAATAGCAGTGAACCCATGGGTGCAGATGAGGAGGATGGAGCCTAGGATGGAGCCTAGGATAGAGCCCTCAGGCAGCCGACTTGGGCTTTGCAGGAAGTCTCTAGGAGGTTGCAAAGGAGACGCTGTGTGTGAAGGAGGCCACAAGCAGACTTCAGAGTCAAGTGAGGACACTGTCTCCAGGATGAGCCTCAGGCAATATGCCAGGCGGGGCTCACAGGTCACAGAGAACAGGAACTGGAAACTGGCCACTGGATTTGGTAGGCAGAGGTCACTGGCCACCAATGCAAGAGCTAGTTGGGTAGATAGTTGTCTATCTGTAGCTGCCTTCTCCTGAGTCACCAGTCAACTCAGCAAGAAACAAATACCCCAACCTTTCAGGCCAATCTCTCCCACAACCATTCCCAATGAATCTGAAGCCTTTAGGGCTGCTGAGAGCCCTCGAGTATAATGAACTAGGCTGAATAACTAGCCGGACAAGAGTGGGCTACGGAATATCTCTGACCCTACTGTCTGTAAGATTGAGACAGGAACATCTACCTCACAACTTTCTCTCTCTCCCTCTCCCTCTCCTTCTCTCTCTCTCTTTCTGTGTGTGTGCGTGTGTGTGTGTGTGTGTGTGTGTATACACTAGATATCTTCCTCTATGACTCTCTATATTATTTTTTGAGACCCTGTCTCTCTCCTCTCTCTCTCTCTCTCTCTCTCTCTCTCTCTCTCTCTCTCTCTCTCTCTCTCACTGAAACTGGAGTCCACCCACTAGCTGAAGATGGCCAATAAGCTCCTGGAATCCTCCTGTCTCTGGCTCCTCATGCCTAGACAACAAGTGTCCTCACACACAGCAAGCACTTTACACGTGGAGCTCTCTCCTCAGCCCCCCTCATGGCTTCTTGTGAGTGCTGAATAAGGACTCACAAACATTTAGCCTAGAGCCATTTTAAATAACAGCTGTCATGATTCGGGGAGTGTATCATACACAGGCTTATAGTACTAACAGGGGCACACAACAGCCCTAAACTGAACTCTATTTTCCTGACTAAACAGTCCACGGGCTACACAGTCACTACATTTAATTAGCATCCTTCCCTGGCTGGAGCATGGCTAAAACCCAGCAGCGCCTTCCCCCAGTGGTTCTGTGGTCTGTAAATAAGTCTCAGACAAAAAGGGTGACTGCCACTAATTGAGTTTTGGCCTAAATGACAATCACATTTCTGCAAGCACACACGAAGTAGGCCAGCTCGCACATATATTCCAGGAATGCAGGGGGGCTGTGTGGTTGCAAGGCCTGTGTGGTTCCAGGGGAGAAAGGTTGAGTTGAGGCCTGACACCGTACTGCCCTCCCCTCACAAAGCTCTTGAGATCTGCACTCTGGATGGCGGCTGAGCCCATACTTACTCCAGCCGGATGGAGCCATCTGAGGAAGTTTTGTCAAAGAGCCACCGGAAGAAGAAATCCAGGCTGAAAAGCAGACGAATTCCATGAGTTTCTTATTCATTTGGATCTTGGTGGGCTTTGTTTGTTTGTCTCAGTACTGGAGCTGAAACCTAGGTCTGGCTCACACCATTCTGCCCTCTGGTTTTCTTCCCCTTCCCTGCACTTCACTGTAGTCATGACTCACTTTCGCTTTCTTCCCCTCTAAAAGCAGTCCCAATCTTGAGGCATTTGTTCCCTGCGGTGCCCCTTACATGTGACTCGTCACACATGCTTTAACAGGCACTTCCTTCCACAAGAAGAACACAGCCAGGACTAGACCCTCCCTACAAGGGAAGTTCTCTCTAAGTTTTGTTCACAAGTTCTTTGTTTTCAAGGACTATACTTCCAGACTAGATGGCAAGAACCGGGTCCTGCTTCTGAGTGGGGCTGGACAGGAGGCAGATGTACCTAGTCAGGCCAAGGGAAGGCAGGATCAGCACCATGAAGATCAAGAATATGTAGACCTTGGACACCATGATCCGGTTTTCCCCTGACCTGCAGGGGACAGAGACGAGTTGATCCAGCGATGTGCCTGCTCCCCCGAGGTGGAGGAGTTGATCCAGCGATGCGCCTGCTCCCCCCAGGTGGAG